GCAAAAGCTTAAAAAATAAATGAGACCCAAAACCATGGGTCTTAAAGCTCAAAACAGGATTTTATTGAGAAAAAGATATATGTGCCATGACTTATGACATTTATCTTGCAGCTCATCCTTCTTTTTACCACACGCCACGGTGCATTGCACGAATTTGACAGTATTAATTGCTGTCATTTGATAGCACAGGAAATAAACTTTTGATGCATCCTAAATTTCCGTCTGATGTTTGATTGAAGTGGTTTTAGAGTCTATACAAAGCTTTTTCCTAACTTTAACTAATGGCACTAGTTTCACACTGAAATAGACACCAAAACCCATTTTACCATTTTTTCACAAAAATCTCACATCCTTGGTGTTCCAACTCAATCACAAGTGCCAAAAGCCTACATTGACCATCCAACCATATTTAATGGACTTTAACGGACTCATGCAACACACCACATACAATCAAAAACATATATATCTTAAAATTATCACTCAATCCTAATTTGCACAAAACACAAGAGGGAGGAAATTATTGCACAAAATCATCATTTCTATTCTAAATTTTTCAAAATACACATATTTCTAGTTGCACAAGTATTCTGGTCCCATCCACAGGTTTACAATCAAAACTCACTCACTTGGGGCACAAAATACACAAGTTGTACACAACCTAATACAAGTAGTGTAAAACAATAATAAGTGATTCTAGTTGGCAATTACATTAACATAGACACATAAAAACAATAAAGAGAGGCATACAAAAAGGATTACTCCATAATATTAAGCCTCTGTGTGTTTTTTTCCAATTTAGATCCGATGAGTTAGCCTTAAAAATATTGAGAATTGAGGGGTGATCACTCAATAATCAAGTTTCACCTAATCTATATAGTTGCATATCAATTGTAAACAAATGCAAATTGGCAAACCCATCGTATAACACATATAAGAAACTTAGCCATGGTTCATAAAATTAACAACCATGTGATCAGGACCGAAAACACTCATATCCATTTGAAATCATAATGCACAATATGGGGTCGCAATACCACCAACCATGTACCCTAATACATACCAAACTACAAAACTAACAATCATGTAATCAGATTTATATGCATGATCATATGCCAATCTTATACCCTCCTGTTACCTTCGACACAAAATTAGTGGCTATCACATGGCTATATCCTTCACGGACTAACCCAACCTTCTACTTTTAAGGAGCTACCGAGTCAAAATTAACTCACTAACTTATGTAATCATATTTCCCCCAATACTAACAACCATGGAGTATTGTATCTTTAATGTAGCCTCCTCATAAACTGGTGGGGACTAGTTAAGTTCAAGTCCCTCATAAAATAAGTGCGACAGTCCTGAATCAACCATGGGATAAAGGTTACCTCTTGATTTCAATAGTCAGCACCAAGGCAAGCTCCCTATTCTAACAATCATTGCCAGTACTATGTGGATTTAAATCAATCTACTCCTTTCTTAGGTGAACTCCCGCTAATGATCATGCTATACACACTATCACGTATCTATGCAACTCAATCACAATCACATCATAACTCCATCTACTTTTCTTGCTCACTCAATCATTACACACCACACATCACAATAGTACATTATCTTCAAAACTTGATCATTATTCATATATGTATAAGCACATATAGCATTTTCATATTGTCACATCAATAACATACCAAATTTGCATTAAGAGTTTAAATATAAATCATATCTCAAATAAACTTATTTTCAATAGATAGCTAATTAATATTTAACTATATAAAGTTAAGTATCTCTCGATTACCTCAAACCTCTGAGAGGTCAAATGTTTACCTCTTATACAAAACACTTCCAAAGCTTCTTCTAAGCTTGAATAGTATCAAAATGAACCTTACTAGATTCATAATACAATAATACCATTATTATCTCATTTGAGGATTTACCCATATAAATCTCCACACACTTTATTTTATCAATCCATAAATCACTACCCATTCATACTTAATAGGTTTATTAGGTTTCATCGACTTTCATTGTCATTTATGAGTTGTTAAACAACTATTAATGGTCTACCAACACTTCCAACAACTAAATTTTGTTAATTTCAAATATTAATGGCTCTACCTAATAAACTCGTAATAAAATTATCAATATAAGGTTTATCTATCCCAAACAATTCCCTTTATATCAATTTTATTTAATGGAATCAAACTCACAATTCTTATGGACCGAAAACCCGCTTTCCAACTCAAACACTATTATAAATCTTCATAAATAGGGGAGAGAAAGGAAGAAGAAGGTATGAAATACTTACCTTGGGTGTTTTAGAGCTTCAATCTATCCACAAAGGTTCTAATGTGCGTGCCCTAGTAGAGCTCAAATGTGTTCTTTGAGTTTTCTCCTTCCTCTTCTCTATTTTTCTCGCGTAGATACGAACTAGATATATTTGATTTTTGGCCATATGCAGCAGCACATGTTGTCCTTTGCCGTGGCGCATGGCACAAAGAAGCCGTTACATTCAAAACTGCCCTTGTGCGTCGTGGCGCATTGACTACACATCGTGGAATGTGGCACAGAGGGTACTCCCTTACTTTTTCATCCTTTTTCCTTGTCATGGAGAGAAAGGAAGAAGAAGGTATGTATTACTTACCTTGAGTGTTTTAGAACTTCAATCTATCCACAAAGGTTCTAATGTGTGTGCCCTAGTAGAGCTCAAATGTGTTCTTGGGGTTTTCTCCTTCCTATTCTCTATTTTTCTTATGTAGATACAAACCAGATATATTTGATTTTTGGCCATACGCCGTAGTACACGTTGTCCTTTGCTGTGGCGCATGGCACAGAGAAGCCGTTACATTCAAAACTGCCCTTGTGTGGCATGACACTTTGATTACACATCGCGACATGTGGCACAGAGGGTACTCCCTTACCTTTTCATCCTCTTTCCTTATCCTGGTGGCTTGCCATCGATTCGGACTTACTTTTAGAGCTGAAATCACAACAATTACACCAAATTAGGCCTCTCTAGTCACACATCTCATTAACTCACTAATCATACTCATTAGGTTAGTAAATCAAGATTAAATTTTCCTAAATGTTACACCAGTCGTGTAATGAAAAATAAAGACTAAAACTATATAATAAAAGAGAAAATAAAACAAAGTAGCAGATGTAGGTCTGAAAATTTGATTGGTGGTTTGTTGATGCTGATAGTAATTCTTGTTGAGAGAGAGTTTCTCTATTTATAGATGATCCTAGCTTGGTGCTCGAGGTTTATGATCACCACTTTCCTTAAATTTAAGAAGCATTTTCTCTATCATGGTCACTTATCATGGGTGGAGTGTGGATAATCCTGACTTAACAGTTAAGGCTTCATAAATATTTTTTTTATAATTATTTTAAAATCGATCAAGTTGAGTTGAGCCCGGGCTTCCAAATTTATAGTTTAGGTACAAACAGCGTCCTAAGTGTGCTAAAAATTATTTAACAAAAACAAAAAGGGTGTCATGAAGATTGCCAGAGACGCAAGGTCTCAGAAGGATGGAAGAACTTAACTTCTAATCAAATATAGGAAACTCAAGCTCTCTTATCATAATTCACCTGAATGTGAGAATGTAAAGTGAAGAAAATTAACGTAGATACAGGGAAGTAGAGATACATTAATCTAAAAAAGAGGTGATGGGCTGTATCGAACGTATAATAAAAAAAATTAAAGACTAAAATTACATGATAAAATAGAAAATAAAATAGAGTAGAATATGCAGAGTCTAGGAATTCAACTGGTGGTTTGTTGATGTTAATGATTATTATCTTTATTAAGAGAGAGCTCTTCTATTTATAAATGATTCTAACTTGATGCCCAAGTCACATAATTGCTATTTTCCTTAAATTTAGGAAGCACTTCTTTTATCATGATCACTCGTTATGGGTCAAGTGTGATAATCTTGACTTAATGGCTAAGGTTTTATAAATATTTTTTTTAATTATTTTAAAACCGATTAAGTTGAATTGAGCTTGAACCTCTAAATTTACAATTTGGGTGCAAACAATAACGATAAAATTTAGTTGAGTCTCTAAGATTTATCAAATTAAGGTATGATTTTTTATTCAAAGAATATTTATTGAGATTTTTATAGATTGTTTACCAACAACATACTCAACTGATAGTGAAATTTGATTTCACAATTTTAAAGATTATGAATAAATTTTTTATGAACTTGGTAAATTTTTATTAGTTAATATAGTTTATTGAGTGATGATTGATGAGTGAACATGGCAAAGATGATTTTTGTTATCTTCTTGGCATTTGTAGATCCGCTTTGTGACCTTTGAAAAGTGAAGGGATGGATTTTTTTGGAACAAAAAAGGTTTGAAATCTCAAAGACATGCTTCAAAGATGACGTAAATTATAGGAATAAAATATCAACCCTTCCATAACTTTTTTTAAAAAGACATAATTTTAAATTTCCGTACTTTACTCTCATTTTACTATTAATTTATATTTTTTTAATATTTTTGATCCTTACACTTTTATTTTTTATTATTTTAGGTCCATTTATGAATAAAGTATAGGAACCTTTAAAGATTTAAAACAATAAAAAATAAAAATAGTGTCCAAAAACATAAAAAAAAATATACAGGGATCAATAACAAAACACGAACAGAGTACACAAATATAAGATTATGTTTTGTCATTTTTTTTATAAGTAACTTCTCGCTCTTTCCACAAATAGAGAATCCTATAAGGATTTATGAATGAAACTATTGGCTAAAAAGAATTTATGCCTGAAATTAAATTTTCGAACAAAACATTTTAAATTAAATTAACTACAAAAATAGACGAGCAATCCTACAAGCCCAAAACTCAAACCGGCCACGTCGTTACTTAATTCGGGCCACAGCGCCGCGTGCCATACTGGTCATGGAGAAAGTGAAACATTAAAAACAAAAAAAAAATGGAACAAAGAAAGAAATACTGATTTTTAAAAATACCGTCCTCATATAATTCATTAACCCTAGTGGAATAGAACTTGCATTTCCCCGACTAAAGCCCCAGCCTGCAATTCGATAGAATTTTCAGGGACTATGGGAGGGTTTAGCAGAGCGGTGTTCCTAGGCAGAGCCATCAGGAATGACTTCGCGACCATTCCCGGGATTACCAATGGCAAAACGTATCACCGTCTACCTCAACTGGCCTCCCATGGCACATGCTCCATTCCTGACCCTCATTGGCCATCGCAGAAGCTTGTTGATCACTTGAGGTTTTCTAGTCCAGCTATTGCTAGCGGCGTCGCAGGTGTTGTTAGCTATAGCTCTGCTTCTGCCGTGTCTCCTTCTCGAGACGTCTGCGAGAAGGGAACACCACCTGCAGAAGGGGTTATGCCCAAAGACGTCGTACTCTATCAGTACGAAGCTTGCCCGTTCTGCAACAAGGTTAAAGGTTAGAGCCCCAGTTCCTCATCAATCTCGATTTTGGATTATGAATACTCTATTTTGATCCGATCATTATTTCGAACCACTCGCTATTGCTACCATGACTACATATCTGACCCAATTATTAACTACGACCTCTGATTTTAGAGTCTTTTCTCCTTTTAATTTCTGACTTGTGATTCTTTGAGATTTCTTTGGTCTCCTTGGGGAAGGATTGGCCATTTGTAGTGTAATATTTCTTGGATTCTTTCACGATGATTATCGTACTTTAAGAGACCCTTCTTCAGGTTTTACCAGGATAATTTAAACTCTTTCATTGCAACGGAAGGGAATTATAAGATTATAGTAAAATATTACGGTTAGTATGCATAATGATCGATATGTCTTTCTCCGTGGCCTATATAATATGTTTACAGTGTACTGTTTATTAATATGCATGATGATTACCATTATAGTTCCGTGCATTACTTCTCCCAGCATTCCTAGACTATTATGATATTCCATACAAAATAGTGGAAGTCAACCCGATCAACAAAAAGGAGATTAAGTGGTCTGATTACAAGAAGGTCCCTATCGTGACAGTTGATAGTGAACAAATGGTTGATTCATCAGGTGCGTGTTTCTTTTAAACTAATACTTATCATCCATGACAAAATGTAAAGAACGTTAGAAACCCCGGCTTTAATTTATGTTGAATGGGTTTGCAGACATAATTGATAAGTTACTTAAAAGGATGCATCCTGGTTATGATCTAAATGCTGATGAAGAAAAGAGGTGGCGTGGGTATGTCTTTTTGCACCCTTACCCATTTCTTTTATCTTCTTGGACCACTTTCCTTCCATTTTACTTTTCTCACTCTGATAAAATAGACTAGTGTCATTGGCATTTTAGGAAAACTGCTGCTGTCAATCTTTCACTATTGGCTGTTGGATTAAGTATGTGTACGTTTAACCTCTGAAAAATTGCATCAACATGGAGCTGTTTCTTGTGGTATAGGTGGGTGGATAACCACTTGGTACATGTATTGTCGCCAAACATATATCGCACTGTTCCTGAGGCCCTTGAATCATTTGACTATATCACTACTCGGGGTAAGATTTCAAACAACCCAAAGGTTTGCCTAATCTAAACTGTCACTCTCTCTCTCTCTCTCTCTCTCTCTGAAACTCAGAAGTTATTCTTCTTTCTTTCTTTCTTTCTTTTTTCTTTTTGGTGAGTAAAACACAACAACCTCCGCATGATATTTTTGATTTCAAGCAAACTTCCCATTCTATTCATTGTTATGAAAACTAGCTGAACCAGTGCCAAAACTTGTTCAAAACATCGAAAATTGGGAGGGGGGGGGGCACGAGCTGGGTTATAGTTTGTCCAGCTCTTTTTTTTTTTTTTCACTTTCTAAGTTTCTTGATTGTTAGTGCAAGATAACATCATTTTCAGAAAGTTTTTCTAATTTTCTTATTCTAATATTGCATAAGATTTTTCTTTTTACATAACTGTTAATAATTATAGATTTACTTGATGAATAGTTGAATACTTTGATGATGGTTGTTAGTCCACTATTTTGAGTTCAAAAAGTGATTATGGATTAAGTTATTTAGATTTGAATATTAAGTTATGAAATTTATTAGTAATAGTTCCTTTAATTTTCTTTATAATCTTTTAGTATATAAAATAAAAAAATATATATTTGATTCTGTTACGACCTATATATTTTGAATTAGTGTCTTGACTGGATTAATCACTATTGCAATTTAAAAAATATTGATTCTGCGAATTCTTCAAAATATCAGTGAACACTGTTTGTTTAGGCTTTAGATGTCCCTCCATTTTTTGCAAATTTCCGCAAGTTGCCGTCCTTTATCGGACAGTCACGTAGTTTGTTAGAAATTAAATGCGGAAAGCTTCATCTAACGTCTTGGAGGTACAGCCCATATTGACAAAATACCCTGATCCTGTAGGCATAAACTTATCCTCTTGAATTGGGTGTGGGATTTTTATGGTCTTTTAAGGGGATCTGGATCTGGATAGCGCAGAACCTCTCGGCTTGGACCCATAGTCTGCATGTGGGTGTGATCTATATAATTTGTATGAAAAATTAAATAACCCCATATATTGTATGACGGAATGGATAGCAACTAGGCCAACCCTCATTTTTCCTTGGTACACGAATTCCGCTAATCAAATTGTTAAGTTTAAATTCAAGCAAGGGATTATGATCTGTATGTAATCTCAAAAGCTATCCTTCATATATGCAGGCAATTTTAGCTTCATTGAGAGGCTAACTGCGAAGTATGGTGGGGCTGCAGCTATGTATTTTGTGTCAAAGAAATTGAAGAAGAAGCACAAGATTGCTGATGAACGAGCAGCATTATATGGAGCTGCTGAACAGTGGGTAGACGCTTTGAATGGCCGGAAGTTTCTTGGTCTGTTGAACTGGATTCATTATTGGCTGTAAAGACACACACACACACTCTCTCTCTCTCTCTCTCTCTCTCTCTCTCTCACACACACACACACAGACTCACGCATTCCTATTTGAACTTGTAAGTTCATATGTTACTTATTTTGACAGGTGGATCAAATCCTAATTTGGCTGACCTTGCTGTCTTCGGTGTCCTGAGACCTATCCGCCACCTCAATTCTGGCAGAGATATGGTTGAGCATACACAGATCGGGAAATGGTATTCCGATATGGAAGAAACAGTAGGGCAGTCTTCTTGTGTCGATGCAATGAGATAGACCACGAGTGTTCTTTTTTCTTTTTGGGTGAGGGCATGCTATAGATTTGGGGAAACGAACAGTCTAAGTTTGGAGTTGATGTTTTGCTCATGTCGTCGCCTTTTGGACATAAGTATGTTCTGTGATGTACTGACGTCCCAAAATAGCGCAGCGTATTAATATCCATCACGTTTTGGGATGGGCACCACGGTCTTTTCATGCTCCAATCTGATTACGCAGGTATCGAATGAGGCCTTTGGTAGGCAATCAGTTTATAGGGTGGCTTTGGACAGGCAGTATTGTGGTAGCTAGGATATTGTTAGGCTCCTTCGATTGGTGATATTTATTCAATTTTGAAGAACGCAATAACTCCTTTTAAGTTGTCAGGCTTCTTGTAACAGTGATTTATATTTATATATGCAGCATGATGTAAAAATTATCATGAGTCATTAATTATTCGTATGGCATTTTTCAGTAATGTAAGAAATTCACATTAGTTCTTGTATTCAAATTTTAAATGCCCGATGTCTAAATGCCTCTTAAGGCATCTCCAATTTTTAAGATGTTTCAAATGCGATCTTGAATTTTGGTGTTTTAAATTGAGTGATGCGTTGATTAGCTTTTAAACAAGGAGATAGAAAGGAAAAACGAGCGAATTGTAAAAATAGAATGGGAAAAAAGAGTCAATCGCCTATGCATTTTCATTCATTGCTATTCCATTTGTTTCAGAATTTAGATAATATAGCATGTTATTGTTACAGCGAAGTTATATTTGTTATGAGATGGCAGTATCTTTTGTGTTGCTGGCCAGCAAGTTATTGCAACTTAGCCCCGCCGGCTGAAATTCATCAGTTAGGTAATATTTAAAACTCTGTTTGGTTTAAGAGAAAGAGAAAGAAGGGGATGGGATGGAGGGGAAGGGAGGGAAGGGAGCAGGAGGAGGAGGGAAGGCAAGGAAAGGAGAGAGAAGAGGAAGGGAGGAGAGGCTCCCATCTTTTTGTTTGGATGGGACAAGGGAGGGAGCTCCCCTCTCCTTATTTGGTAAGGTGGAAGGGGAGGGGAAATTTTAAAATTTTCCCCTCCCCTCCCCTCCCCTCCCCTCCGACCAAACATAGGGCAATAGTTCTTGCAAAATTAATTAGCTTCTATCTTACATCTGATGCAACTGTTAAGAATTGGCCTGGTTTAAGCACCAGATACTAGCATGGAGGAGGATTTTATCCGTTTGAGATCCTTTAATGACAGACAGTTCTCTATCAAAACTACTTATGGGACACTAAAAAATCGAACAAAAATGCAAGCTCACCAATCTGGGGGTCTGGGCTAAATGTGGAAATGGTTTGCTCATGAAAACAAAGCTCTCTGCAGAAAATAGCTTAGTTTCCTCTTCAAGTTAACTTTGTTAGGATTGAAGGAATTAGTAGAAATTGGCTCAGCATTCTAATCTTTTTAGATAGTTTTCCTTACCTATGTAGGATTGCGTTTTACGGAAGGCTTCCTTTTCAGCACCAAGATATATATATGGATCGAATTCGTAACGTTGAACAACTATCTCTTTCCTCTTCTTGATTCTTAAACTGTTAATTTGTTTTTGCTGTTTATATATTAATTTGTTTTTTCGAGGGAGGGAGGGAGGGAGAGAGAGAGAGAGAGAGAGAGAGAGCTACTATGTCTTCCCCGCCTAGCCTTCCGCAGCGGATGCACAGCACAAGTCGATTTCATTGTGCCCCTTCCATCGTCCATTTGGACTTTGGACACAAACGTAGCCGTTTTCGTCGAGGTGTACTTTGGACACGTACAGGGAAGACAAATTTTTCTCCATCGAGATTTATTCTTCAATCTTCTTGGTAGGAGGATTAGATGTATAAACGAAGCAGGACTCCATCGCATTAAATTATCACATAATATATGGAACATGTGACTAAAATGAGATTATGTGATTTGATGGAGAGCGTAATTAATTGTTTAGCGGAGTGCGGTGGATGGCGCCGGCCAACAGAGAGGGTGAGTGGGCCTCAGTACAGCTTTTGCTTGCGTAATGCGGTGCCTGAGAGGAGAGCGGCATCCCCTAAGTGAAAGTGAACACGTAAACACGGCTTCATCATCCATACCGGCGCGGCGCCGGAAGGAAGTTTCAGAAGACTTACCCTTTGCCTTGGGCCCCGAAACAAACCAACCCAGTGGTCTACGTGCGTTCTTTGTCGTATCTCAACGGACATGATGTGATTTCAAGTTTTTAGCAACTCTCCCCCAATGACCGCCCTGACAATACCGTCTGACCCTTTCGCATCCCAATTTAGTGAATTCCTCCCTTTCTCTCTATCTTTTCTCTTCCTGATCCCCTCTGACCCGTTACTTCCCTGACTGTTCTGTCACACATTCTGCGTGTACGTCGTCGTTTTCCGCCTCCCTTAAAATCTCTCTCATCAATGCTGCTACTAGTTTCGGTATATAGCCTTTTGAGATTCTACACGCACCCGGTTTAGCAGGCGAGCCCGATTCCAGAGTTATTACTTACATCCGCCCAAAACCCTTGAAGAAGACAACCCTCTCCCCCCCTCTCTTTCTTTATTATTCAATTATTAAATTTATTCTTCTTCCCGTTCTTTTAGTTCTTTAATTAGTCAATACAATTAAATCACGCATGAGAGTTCCATTATCCGCTTTTAATCACACGTTAATAAGATTGTCAGTTTTCCCACTATAAATAAACATCCCACGGGTTTCTTTCTTAATGGTGAGTTTCAGTTAGACCAGAAATCGTAGCAACAAAGAAGGCAAAGTTTGCACCGAGAAGAGGAGATAGAAAGATCACGCATCTTTTCTGATACAACGAGAACACGAACCTTCTGGCTTTGAACCTACCCGCCCACGATTTCGTTTCGGTTCTGGCTTCCAATTAAATGGCCTTGATATGTGTCAACAGAAAATCGCACTCCCTGGTGATTCCTCCTCCTCCTCCTCCATAGAGATAGGATGGCAGTTCATGCTCATTTTTATTCAGAAGGTACCGGATTGCCCGTACGTTTTCCGGATTGGGCAGGGACTGGTCAAGTACTTGGAATGGATAACGGCCTTCTTCTCAGTCTTCCACAACCTTCACAGCCTCAGTTCCAGCAGCACCAGACCTACCAAAACTCTGGTTTTGGTCGCAATGAGGGGTCTTCGTTTTCCTTCACATGTTATAGTTTCCCGTCCACGTCTCTCTCTCATGCTTTAAATACGCAGCTGGAATTACAGAGACACGAGCTTGATCGCATGCTTCTATCACAGGTTATCACAAGGATGAAACTATCTCAGTTTTTTTCCCAATTATATTTTTTAATATATTGTGAGAAGATTCCCTTTAAAAAAAAAATTTGGTCGGCTAAGATCAAGTTTGTGAAGCGTCCAACTTTCGAATTCAGGTCGCATCATCTTGTTGCAATTCATTTTAGTGACTAAATTATCTGGATATACTTGAAAACAGAACGAGATATTAAGGCAGGCCCTGCAACATCAAAGAAAGGAGCAGGTGGCAATCCTACTGAGCGCTCTGGAATCAAAATCGCTGAGCTTGATGAGGCAAAAAGAGGATGATCTGATGCAGGCGAAAAAGAAAACTAGAGAGCTGGAGGATTGCTTGAGAAAAGCAGAGATGGAAAGCGAAGCGTGGCAGAGACTAGCCAAGGAAAAGGAGGCCATGGTGGTAAGCCTGACGACCACACTGGAACAGGTAAGAGAGAGGGGAGTGTGGGATGGTAACAGAGCTGAAGATACAGGGTCTTGTTGCGGTCCAAGTGAGGAGAGGCAATACAGAGAAGAGGAGGAAAAGGTGGAAAGACGGAGAAAGAGAATGGCTTGTAAAAGCTGTAACTCTCGGAGCTCGTGTGTACTGTTCCTGCCTTGCAGACACATCTGCTCTTGCTATTTCTGCGAAGCCTTGCTTGACTTTTGTCCTGTGTGTAATTCTGCCAAAGAGGGCTGCGTGGAGGTGCTTTTGGCCTAGCACAATTCCTTTGACAAAGTAAAACATGCTTCTTTTTATTTTATAAGTCGCTGGTTACTTGGTTAATATAAGCTGTTGGTTGATGGAATTATTTGTTTTTAAATTAAAAACTGAAAGAAATAAAAAATAATATTATATAATTTATTTATTTATAATTTTTACTTGGAGATTATGTTTGTAATTTCAATTATTTTTATTTTTTATATTTTTATTGTATTAATATTGATAAAATTAATTGAAATAATTTATAAATAGAATTAAAAAATATATATTTAACTAATTATATTAATATATTTGAAATTAGATAGATTTGGTTTTCATTGTGGGGTTTCCGGTTTTCAGCCCCTTTGTCCGGGTTGGCCTTTTAGGGAGACTCGTCTCGGTCTTATTTTGTTTTTGTCTTGACTCCGAGCTATTGGCCCGTGTTTAAGTAGAATGGCGCTGCTTGATAATTAATGGTACAAGAATCTTCTTTTCCCTTTTCGTCAACTGGGACGTATATCCAATATCTGAATTTGATTTGGATTGCGTGATTCATCAATCTTCTTTTTGCTTCCCAATAAATGACATGTATCCATCTTATCTATCTCAGTCTCAGCCGTACCAGTGACAGGGTTCTGTTTCTGTGATATTAACTTTGCCTTTTCACTGACAGAATAAAGGATATTGACAATTATAAAAGCCTGTAGTCTGGAACAGCGCCTTTGTTGAGGCTTGTTCGTTGTTACCACTTCCGATTACGTGTGAACTGGCACCCAGCTTTGCCAACAGCAAATTCGGAGATACAGCCAAATTTGGCTACGCTGTTCCATGCCATCGATGCCTCTCTTGCCATTTTGTAAAACCAACCGAGAAAAGTGGAAATATGTACGTCACTCCTTTACTTTGACTGTGTAACAATCGCTTATTTTGGAAAATAATCGTAGATCACTCTAGATTAGATGCAAAGTTGGAATGACATGCGTATTCCATTCTCCTTTTGAAATTTATCAAATAGATTTTGTGAATTTTACATGCTTTTATGAAATATGAAGAAAAAATACGTTATCCATAATTTATAACCTGTGGTGTTGTTCTTATTACTTTTATTGATATATTAATATAAAAATAGATTGATAGTTGACTAGAGTTAAAAAAAAAAAAATTCTCTCAAGTGTACAAATGACAATGAAGTCCCATGACATGCAATAATTATTCTCAGATATTAGTAATTTTTGGAGAAATGATTAATATCCCTAATTTAAAATAAAATAATAATTACTTGTTTCAATTTAATTATAATTACATTATTTAAATTAAAGCAATTACGTTATTTACAATATTTGATTTTAGTGAATTAAAATTTTACACAGTGAAAATTGAAATTGTTTGTTCCGTTGTAGTCATTGTTAGAATAAAAATAATTATTTAAATTAAATTAAAGTAATTGTTGATATTTACAAAGCTTATATTTTAGTGAATAAAAAATTGGCACAATAAAAGTTACAATTGTTTGTGTTGTTTTAAGCATTGACTAAAAAAAATAATTACTTAAATTAAAATAATCATAAATACTTATAAAATTTATAAAATAAAAAATTTATAAAGGTGAAGTTGTAATTATTTGTTATGTTCTATTTATTATCAAAAAAATTATTATTTAAATTAAAATAGTCGTTGATAGTTATTTTTTTTGGAACATAATTGTTTTTTTAATTTTAAAATAGGAGTGTTTTAATCATTTGACCAAAATTTTTAAAATCAGAAAATTCTTATAAATTTAAAAAGGATTATGATATTTTAAAAAATTTTATTGTTATTTGTATATTTTGAAAGATTTTTCATTCATTTTCCCAATATTATACCAATTCTCGTGAGAAAAAAAGTCAAATGGTAGTATAGTCTTGCAAAATGCTCTGGTTACAAAACACAAACTGTTTTTAGGGTGGTGGGGTGGGAATTCGCATTCTAGTAACATTTTCACCTTTATAAAAATATATATTTTCCTTCGTTTAAAAATATAAATTATTTTTAATTAAATTTTATCCCTCAATAAAATAGTTACCTACTTTTAAATTAATTTTATTTTTTTATATTTATCCCTATTAAACACCATATAATAAATATAAAGTCATTATCAATGGAGGTAGCTTTGAAAAAAAAGGTAATGATTGCACCTCAAAAGATTAAAAATGTCTTATATTTTTGAACATCCAACTTCTCAAAAAATACTTTACATTTTTTAACAGAAGGAGTATTTTTTTTAATATTACTCTTAATTCTAATATCAATACACTTTATAGTAATTGAGTGGTAAATTTATATAAGGATCTAAATTAATGAATACATGAAATAAAATAGGAGAATTTTTTTATATTATACTAGATTATTTATATTTTGAATTAAAATAAACATAAAAAATGCTTATATTTAGGAAAAAATTACATCTAGGCTCACATAAGAGAATTTATTATCGAGAAATTTCATAAAATTAACAAAATACTCTCAAATTTTAAATATTATACATTTACAACTTTACAAAGGACATCAATGCCCTTTATAAATTTGTAAATATGCAAAATTAGGAACTTGAGAGTATTTTATGAATTTTATGGGATCTCTTAATAATAAATTATCTTCTATAAGACATACATGTATCGTTTGCTATACTTTAATCCCCCTCATTTGTAATTCTTGTTAGAGGATTACTAGTGATCGATAGCATTATTATTAAAAAACCAAGTTAGTAAAATCTATGCAGGCCTAGTTATATAAAAACATTTTTGGGCTTCTCAACACACACATGGCTATTCAATAGAAATATGCATGATCAATACACCATCTTATATCCTCCTTATTTCTTTCAACTGAATCTGTAAGCTAACAATTCAATAGAACTGAATCCATGTGACTGGATTGGCTCAAGCTCACCAATCATGAGAGGTAATATTGGCCAAAGGTGCTTTCATCCACTATGGACTACAAATTTCCCCTTTTTATGAATATTCTGGGTGTCGATACCCAATCTATCTCACATAGTATTGAGACTTTCAAATAAATATATAACTATGCATTGAGGCCTCCGAGGTGCTAGTATACCATATGAATTTTTGAACAATGTCCTCAATATCAGACTAGGGTGAACTCCTACCCTCTCACAATGATCATGCCAAACATATGCTTAACCATTTCACACATAACCATAAGATATAACTTTTACTACAATAATGATCTCCACGATAAACCATAAAATTTCACAAACACTTATACTTGAATGTAGGATTTAGTCTTCAAAACCATAATGTTCAAAAAATGATTTTCCATTCCACTTCACATAAAGTTTCTAAATCATAATTATTTTATATTAATACCATACTAGTACAAAACAATAGCATTAGATTTATTAATTACCACGCAACAATCCAAAAATGCAACTAGAGATTTTAGATAATCCGATTATCTCAACTCTTTTGTCACTAAAAGGGTTACTGTGATCAATCAATAACCCCACATGTCTCCACTAGCATAACAATGCTAGATCAATATTTAATTTACAAAATTAAATATTTAATTATCAATTCACACACTAATTAGCCCCCTTTTGAGAATAATTTTGGGTACCTATTATACCCAAAACTTTACTTTAACACCATCAACTTTCTCATCACTCTTCATTAATTTCATTTAACATCCAAACACTCTGATAATACTAATCTTCTACTCACATTGCTCTTAAACTCCTAAATTCTACTTAGGATTTTTTTAAACCTTAATCAAAAACTTTAAATCATTGCACAATCCATAAACATAGGTTTAGAAGTTTGATTTAACACCTCAAGATCTTAAATAAGGTAATAGGTTCGGTCACAACCTAAGGAAAAATGAAATCAAGCCTCAAACACCCCCAAAAGCATATAAAATTCATAAATAGAGGAAAGAAAAAGATAGAAAGCTTACCTAACAATAATCAAGCTCCAAAAGCTTTCAAAATGGCATTGGAGATTAACCTTAATAGGCATAAGTTCTTCCTTTACTACTCCTCTCATTTTCTTTCTTTTCCTTTTTTGAAATTAGACGCATTTTGAGTCTGGTTTAAGCCATAATTTGTCGTGCAAGGCGACAGATGATGCGTGTAACATCCTAAATTTTAATCCCCTTATTTAGTAAGCTTAACTATGATAATTAAGTAATTTAATGTGGTGTGTGATTAGGGAGGTCTAATAACTACCTTTGGGTTATGTTTTAGCCTTAATTATGAGTTTAATGTGGAGGTGAGCCAACTGGGCATCAAAAGGATGAGAAAATAAAGATTTAGTATTATTGTGCCACACGCCGCGACATGAATCACGTTCGCCGTGGCACACAAACAAATATTGAAACGAGAGGAGACATCTTTGTACCATATACTGCGATGTGTTCAACGTCCACCGCAACACACAGCCCTTTTTTGTAGAAATAGGTTGCAAAACTGAGACGAAAAATATAGAGAAAGAAGGAGAAAATGAGAATAAGTGACCAAGCTCTGATAAGGTTTATTCTTGGACGACATTGAGAGTATTGTAAAAGTTACAAACACTAGAAATAAGTATTGTATTCACTAATATCCCATTTTCTTCTACATTTATAAATTTTTTTATTAAGGTTTGATGATGGAAGATGATTTTTTGATTCATATAGGTTATAGGTCCAAATTCATTGACTCAAATGGAGTTAATGGAAATAAATTAGAATATTTAAACCTAGAAATATTGAGTTTTGGCACTTTTGATAGTTGGGCCTCATTATTATGTGAAAATAACATTAATAGGGGTTGTTGAAAGAATGTAAAGCCATTAGTGAGAATTTAATGGCTCGTTAATGTTATTGGGGACTAAAGAGAGTTAATAAACATAATGAGTAAGCCTGAACTTACACAATGTAGGCATTGGAAAGTCTAGAAAGGGGAGGAAAGAGTTGAAAAATGTGTGCTTGACCATATTGATGAATCTAATAATTTGTGAATTGTATATTAAGCTTTTGGACACCGTTTTGGCTTGGAAAATCAAGTTTGGAAGTTTATAATATTGAAAGGTAAACATTTGACCCCTTAAAGGTTCGAGGTAACTGAGAGAACCCTATTGTGGGTAGTTGTTGTAACATCCCAATTTAAATTTTAATAGTTAATTTGGGTTAATGGAAATTTAAAAAAAAATAATATTTAGAGGTAAGAAAATTAGTAAGAGATGATTATTAAATCTAACTTAGGATATAATTCTAAAAAAAATTAAAAAAATAATAAAAAAATATTATTAAATTATTATTATTATTATTATTATAAAAAAAAGAAAAGAAAAGGTGTAAAAACAAGAAAGGAGAAGAACAAGGAAACTTTCGGCCGCGGCACATCAACAATGAATATTATAATAATATTAAAAAAAGGGGGAGAGAGAAAAGAAGAAATAATAAAAAAAAGTGTGGGACCCACTGAATTTTTATAAAAACTCACCTGTTCCTTCATTTCTTCATTCCTTCTTTTGTGCGTGAGTTGAGGCAGAGAGAGAGCATCTGTGAGCCAAGTTCACCGGTGCTGGGTTTTAAAGTAAGAGTTTTTAATAGGATATTTGGGGTGTGATTTTAAGCTTTTTAAGACTAAGTAAGTGTTCTAAAATTTTTTCTTAGTCATCCTTCTTCTTTGGTTTCTGAGTTTGTAGTGGTAGAAAATTTAAGATCTGGAAGAGGGATGAATTTATGTTGAATAAATATGATTTTTGAGGTTGTTAGTAGTATAATAAATATTTTAGAGTATAAATTTATTGGTGATCTTTGAATTTGTGGCTTATGGATCAAATTCTAGACTAGATCTGAAAATATATGTTGATTTATTGAGGTTTAGATTATTATTTGGGATGAGAAATGAATTATTATGGCTATAGGATTATGATTCTAAGC